AGTGACTGCTTTGTGGCAGTCCCATCATGGTTATTACTATGTAATTCTTACCCACATCTCCCTTCAGCGTTGTGTCAATTCAACACCCCCCCCCCCCTAAATGACTTGCAAAACCTTGGACCTAGTGGCTGCTTTGTGGCAGTCCCATTATGGTTGTTATTATGAGATTCTCACCGACAGCAATCACCACAATTGTAAACTTTTACCCCAAGAAGAGTTCAAACATCCATGGAAAATCAAATAAAGAAAAGCAGTGGTATCCCTATCAACATGGCAAAAATTAGTGCAAGCAACTAATTGTGATAAGTTGTATGGTCCATGTGTAAGTGATTTTTATTACCATTCTTTACGCATATTCTTACCATAGAAGCATGAGAAGTGTCTAATGAAACTACAGCTAGAAACAGTTACCAAAGATTATTATGCAAAATACCTACCCATGGCTCTCCTCTGACCAGCCTGCAATGAAAATACCCTCAGCAGTAGTGAACCCTTGTTCCTCCTTTCCAGCAAGGATCATATTCGCTGCCACTGCATAAGTGACACCTGTCCATATTTCACGTGACTGCATGCAAGTCTCATCAACCTTTCCATTGGGGTGCATTCCATTAACAGCACCCATCCTGCCTCCTTTAACTTTCATGACATTGTAATCGTATATTTTCTGGAGAGCACTTCGAATTTTGAAATCATCAAAAAGTGGAGGCAAACCTGAAGAAGCAGTATACCATTGCCCTGCAAGTTGATCTGCTTGTATAGACTTACTATTACTACTTGATCCACTATCATAATTGAAATAAGAACCATTCCATAGCTTTGCTTCAAATGCAGTTTTTACACTCAAAAATTTCATTTTGCACTGTTCAGCAAAGAATTTGTCACCTACTTGAAGGGCCATTGCCGCTGCAGCTTGGAGTGCAGCAAGCCATAAGCAGCCACAGTAAGCACTTACACCTTGCACAGTCCAAGTATCATATGTTTGATCTGGGAACCTATCATTTTCTATAAGGTCATCATTATCTCTATCAAATTGTTCCATATACTCCATTGCAGTACGAACAGCAGGCCAGACATCAACACCAAATGACATATCTCCTGTTGCAGCAAAATCTCGGTAGACCTGAAGCACAAATTTTGGATTCAGATCCTTCCATTTGCTTGAATCATGTATGTTATACGCATTCATTTCGTTCCAAGGATCATGTGTTCCCAGATCATGAGGAACAGCTCCTCTAACCTTGCGAATTCCCCACTTACCCTCTGCAAGAAATTTCACCTTTCTTCCATCCTCAGACAGGACTGCTTTGGCAAAGTCACGTTGAATATTGAGTTCAATTTTAGGGAAAAGCATAAGAAGGGCAAAAGATGCATAGAAATGCACATCGTATGTGCACCACATGATATATTCTACTCCTTCCAAATACAGAAACCTACCAACATCATCACTATCATTCTGCACATCTAGCAACTTCAAGGGTTGAATAGGGTTGTTGGTGTTTCTTCTGTTTCCAGTGCTAGCAGAACAATTAAAACCACAAGCAATGGTATGTTCAGAAACACTACTGCACCGACAGTTCACTTCAGCTTCAGTTACTTTAGCATTGTTTTCTACTGTTGTTAGCTGATGATTGTTTTTCAAGTTTTCTTCAGGTAAGGAAGAGTCTGTAGAAAAGATGACTCAAACCATGACTAACTTTAATGTAAACAGTTGGATAATAAAAACAATAGATGATATAAAAATGATTCTATGACTGAAAGCCTATTTTTGCTTCTTAAATAAATATGAGGAATACTAGGCCAGTCAGTATGACTACCGATCCAAACTGTTCCACCAGCAACCAAAAAGTAGAGCTCATTAAACAATGTGAACTTGTACCTGAAAATTATAAAAAAGAATTATGCATCAGTAATGAAAGGCTAAATATATAGAGTAACGGCTATTTAAAATGCACAAACAATGTAAAATAATTTTAAAGTAAAAAATGCCCATTAAAGCAGGAACTGATTATCTAGATGAAGATATATGCCAAAGGAATCTAATAGATTTAAGACACCAACTGAGAAAAAAAAAAAAAAAGAAGAAGAAGAAGAAGAAGAAAAGAAAGATCGTGATGAGAGCAAAACAGTTGCACTAAATTTTACCATTCCGGTAGTCTTTCATCCTTGAGGATAGGACTTTGCCATTTCTCAATCTCTTCTTCCCATCGCTTGTAATCTGATTACAAATCACACCATTATTATCTTTTATGTTTGGAATAAAGTGAATGCATTGGGAATTGGATTACACTTAAATTAAAAAGGTTTGAGAAATGGGAAAACACATAGAAAAGGTAAAAGCTTAAAAATAAAATTCAATCATGTCAGCTGAACTAAACAACCACAGTCAATAGTGGCTAACAATAGAATCATGACCCACGAATTATAATATATCCCAAACTTTCTGCTATTGGCCAAGTAAACATAGTCCAATCAGATGCATACTTGTCAGAGCATCATGAACTAAGTGCAGAGCTGCTCTTTCAGAAGTGCCATAGAATTTAGCATATCTCCTGTAAACAAAAAAAAAACAAATTCAGAAGGATCCCCACAGTGCATAAAGGTACAGAGTGCCATGAAATGAATATGATCCAAAATCAATATGCAGCCTTTTCCAATTACAATAATCAATCTTCTTTCCAGGTAGCATGGAAGGCCCCCAAAATATATTGAAAGGAATATGATTAATACCATTCCATATTGAGCAATTGTGACATCAAGACCAATAAAGCATGGAAAAGAGAAAACTGAAAAACTACACACAAGATCAAGATATAAAAGATGTGAAGAGGGGAGTAGCACTGTTTACCTATTGTATATGCTTCCCTTCAAAAATTTTATTTTTGGAGATGACCATGCAAGGGCAAAAGCAACAGTACACTTTCCATGAGGTTCTACCCATGCAGAGGCTGAAACTGCAGCACAAACTGTCTCCCCAGGGGATGAAGGCATGCTTGGGCCACAATTGAAATTTGCACAATCAAATTGTCCATCCTGAGACAAACAGAGGAGTTACTTCTAAATCCTGACAGGAAAATGCCAGCTTTAAAGATGACAAGTTCCTCAAGGAGGCTACTGCATTGTGTGACATTCAGCTTCAATAATTAAGGAAGTGTGTATTATATCTAAGAAAGAAAAAATCTAAAGAAACTATTTGAAAGCACAGCTTCAAGACAGGAGGACCGATAGCAAGCAGGCACACAGCATTTGAACAACTCAGAAAAATGAAAATTAATTTGTTACCCGCATCATTATACTCCACATTTCCTTTGCTGTTACAGAACTTCCTTCAGACAGCCCAAAACATGGAAGGACAGTAACATTTACATTCTGGGTTTCACATGCAGCAACCGCAAAGGTAACAGGAGGATTCCCCTTTGTTGTCCTGTAATGTGGCCACAATCCTTATAAAACCTTCAATTCTAGCCATCAAGTTGGCAATCTCTCAAGAATGAGCAAAACATTAATAGAAGATTACTAAATACTGACATCACACAATATTATGGTGCAAACATGAATTATGTCATCATCAAGCAAAATGTAATTTAGATAGTTACAAAGTTTTGAACTATGAATGTGGAACCAAACTAAAGAATGCCTCAAAATTAAGCAAATCCATCACAATGCTAATTCCAAGAAAAGATAGGTAATTATGAAGGACAGGGGAGGGAATCAAACTTGTACACCTACCCAATTTTCTTAATAATTAAACACAAGATAAACAAATACTTTGCTACATTCAGTATGAGAACTTAAATTTAGTTTAAGAATTCCTGAATTCCTAGAAAAATAAATCTGGAGCTATAAAGAGAAGAGACTAAGCCCCATATACAGATTAAAGTCCCCATACACTGCATGCTACAGTTCTATGTCTTTTCATCCTAAAATTAAGAGGCATAAGGAGGACTTATGAAATTTTATCAAAATTTCTAGCCATGAATGTTTGTCCATTTTTTAAGTTAACACATTAAATAAAAAAAAAAAAAGTGATTGTTTCCAACCATGTCTAACCCATCCTCTCTCACTTTCTACATGTCTGTTTTTGCTCAGCAATGCAGAATAAGTGCGATGTTCTACACGGGACAGCTTTCTTCTTCTCTTCTATCCTCTTTGCAATTTAAGAACCATTAAACTCTAATGTTGAAAAATAAAAAATAAAAATAAAAAAACTCAGAATTTCAATGGGAAAACATTTTAAGTCAACATGTAGAAAATGCCTATCCCAATACTACATTCGTGTCAAATAAGATATAAACAGCCTATGATGGAGGTACTTGACATCTGCACATATAATACTATCATAGAGCTTTTGCTAGGCCCTATTAATTGTCCTCTTGTTTTTCCTTTTTCCTTTCCATTTACCATGCCTTCCCTAGGAAGGAGCAGTATGGCAATGCTTTGACCTTTTAAGCAATGAAATGGTTTAGAGAAATCTGCAAAACAACTGTCATATATAGCTACTAAGGTTTAATGACTTGCTTGTGATGTAGAAGTACGCCAGAGACCCCGTCTTCGCCTCTATCAAATAAAAGAAAACAAAGTTAAAATATAGTCCGAAAACATGATCAAAATACAACAAAGAAAATGTAGCAAAAGTACTCACATGAATGGTTCATTTACATGATCTCCTGACAAATCAGAAATTCCTCCAATTGAATTCTGTAGTAAACTAACCATGATTACCAAACCAAACAAGGATCTATTGTATAACTGCATAGACAGAAAAACACAAGTCCAGCTATAGCAGATAAACTTACTGCCCATGTAAAAAGAAGACTGACTTTTGCCCTTTCTTTCCCGGTATTCACCAACTACAGTGAAACAAGTAATGGTCTTATAAGTCAAAGTTAGTTTACTACAGAATCTCGTTAGCTTTTTCTTTAAAAATGAGTTGCAACTTTGCAATATAAAATCATAACTTGTGTGACAAAACATTATTGAATTCTTTTCAAACAAGAAACAGATTCACACATTTACATAATTTATCCTGTAGCATAAACAGGATATCATGCTGCATCAGATATCTTAAATTAAAAAGAGAATCAACTCTCACTTCCATCAACACCTCTCAATTAACATAGTTTTAGTCCAATTAAACTCATTTTGATTCTGGAATACCGGCAATGTAGATTCACTTAACTAAAAAGTTAGCTTTAGTTTCATTCTACATATCATCTGGATAAAATTAAAGAAGTCTGAACAAAATGAATTGAAAAGAAGCTTGAATTACAAAAAGATAGAAAGGATAAAACCTGCACCTTCAAATTTCTATGATACTGTTTCAGTCAGGATATTAATATAAACTATGTGATTTTTTTTAAACAAATATAACCTATATGTTAATATCCACTATGCAGTCAATTCTGCCTTGATAAACTTATCTACTGATTCCAATTTAGACTACAGATTCACATCATGTTGGAAATTGATATATACAATAAAATAACATAGTCATAGCCACATCAACAAATCAATGAAATGAAATGACTTTAAAATCTGTAGCTAGTTAGCACCAAAATTAAGCCATTCCAATATATTCTGGATATTAGAATTTGATGAAGCAGCATACCGTGTATACAAAAACAGCTGTAGGAAGACTACTATCTTTATAATTATGTGGTATGAATGGTGATATTTGCCGACAAGACACTTTCAAGTCTGGATCTGGTTCACCTGAAAATTGGAAAAGGACCATTTTAAACAAGATTCAAGGAGAATAGAAAAAAGCATGAGCAGAAAAAGATATATAGCAGAAAGGTACCATCATAAATTGTCCATGCCCTTGGAAACAAAGCATGGTATGTTGAATGCTGGCCACTCAGATTCCAATCCCATGAAGAGATACCATGATCATTAGCTTTCCTGAGAGAGCACAGAACTATTATCAGGGTAACAACTTCCACTATCTCTAATAATGCATTCAATCTTCTTAAGTTTTACCCTAATCCTTCATGCTGTCCTGGAGCCAAAACAGATGCATACTTCTTATTCCCACCATCACGAGATACAAATATCTGCAACATAAGGGTGAATCAGAACAAAAGTGAATTGACATTTAGAAATTTCTTCTATCATATGAGTTTGTTCTTTTCTTCCTCATTTTGAGAAGAGCAGTGTGTGGAACTTTGTTGGTTTACAGGAACTCAATCTTGAGGAAACCAACCACACTCTGCCACAGCGATATTTGACATTTGCTACATTGATCCTTGTTAAATAAGTGGCCTGTCAAACATCCACTATTCCACAAAAGTATGTTTGTTAAATTTTTTTGAATTATTTTCCTAAAGAAACTCAAAAGAACTGTTAAAACCAATTTTCTGACCACCTAAAGTCAGTTTACATTTATTTTGAATACTCTATTAGGAGCCAATTGACAATTCAAATAGAAAGGACAATTTTATGTCTACACTAGGACAAAAATGTCTTAGAAAAAGGACATGCAGTAGAAATGATAGATGAGTTAAAGAGTAGAGCTTTACAGAAAATTGGTTAGCCATAACGGGTGAAGCATCACAACTTCCAGGAGGAATTTGAAATTGCCTGAACTCGCCTCTAAAACCTCTTGATATACTTCCACTTCTGTTACATGAATAGCCATCTAACAGAATGAGATAAATTAATATTTTGGTATATGAACCACACAGTTGTCCACATTACATACCCCATTCCTCCTAAAGGAACGCCTAGGGATGCAGATGGCTTGCAACTTTCTCGAGTGAAAGGGTCAATAGGTGCTTTCTACAACAATCACAGTACAACAATACACATTAGTAAATGTCTAGTACTATAAATAAAAATAATGAATAATTAATGCAAGTAACAAAAATTCAAATAAACTCCATTAAAATGAAAGCAAGAAAATTACCCTTCCGTGAGATGCCTCTTCCCTGATATAAGACCAAAGACGTATACCTAATTTCACCTAAATAAGTATATTCAGACTTCATCAGTAATCCAAGGATGTAAACCAGATCAAGTGATAATGTGCATTCACAGACAGAAGTGTGCAAAAGGGAGCAAGGGATATAAAACAAAAGATAACTCAAGGATCAGGATACACACAAGATTTTTACTTATCCTAGATCAGTCAGAGCATGCTTTAAAGAACATATCACTTACCATCTTAATTGCTTCCATAAATGTGACACTAAATTCTTTAAGAATATTAGCATGGCTGTTTAATCTCCTTCTCCAAGCATGTTCTGGGGGGGCAGCACTATCAAAATCAAACTAAACAGCACCAGGAAAAAATTAGCATGGGAGAAACTTTTCAGCTAAAGTTAAAACTAAATAGGCTGCAGTTATGTAGAACATAGTAACCAATGTCAAAACCATATGTCCATATCTGATGAACTACAAAATGGAACACTTGATAGGAATGCAAATCTTGACCCTCCTAATCAGTAATAAATTTTCATAATTAATACTGGATAGTTATCCAATAAATTTACAACTATCAAGTTTGAAATACAAACAACAAGAACAAACTTGTTCTATGAATTAAATCAAGACACATCTTGAAGTCAGATATTACAGAACAGACCAGTTTGTTTGGAAAAAAATTTAACCAAGCGCCAATAAAACAGAAATGATTGCTAGAATTTCATACTTGCATTAATTGATAACAAAAGAAGCAGAAACTCAACCAATTAAGCTTTAATCAGTAAAATTGTCTGACATACGGAAGCTGGAACTTCCAGAATGTGATTTGACAATCTCTTAACTATAAA